TGCAATTTCATGTACACCTTACCATAGTTATATGCATTTTTGCACACATTACATGGCTAGAGAACTGCACTGCAACATTCAGAGAAATGTGAATCGGCTGTGTTTCAATTTTTATAGTGTTTCAGAAAGTATGAACTAGGGAGGCTTACTTTTAAATGAGAACTCTGTTGAGAATTCCTACCCATCTCTGTTGGTCAGATATCATTTGGAAGATTTTATCTGGACTGCTTAGGTCAGTGTTTCTCAAACCTTTTGAACTCAAGAGCTATGGAGACATCTCCTATCTTTGTAAAATGTGATGCTCAAGATCATGCCAGGCGCTTTGACCTCCCATTGGTTCTGTTGCAACCCTCCCACAATGTGCTCTACATCAGTAGCTTGGGTGGCAAATTCTCATAAGTAGGACCTGCAAAAAATGTTGCAGTGTGGCATATCTAGGATTCCAGCCAGCCAGGACTTTTTCTAAAATACTGCATTTCTCACACACAAACAGAGAGAGAGAGAGAGGAGGAGGAGGAGGAGGAGGGAGAAAGGTTTTTGCAGTATGTACTGATAGGGACACGGGTGGTGTTGTGGGTTAAACCACAGAGCCTAGGACTTGCCAATCAGAAGGTCGGCGGTTCGAATCCCCATGACAGGGTGAGCTCCCGTTGCTTGGTCCCTGCTCCTGCCAACCTAGCAGTTTGAAAGCACGTCAAAGTGCAAGTAGATAAATAGGTACCGCTCTGGTGGGAAGGTAAACAGTGTTTCCGTGCGCTGCTCTGGTTCGCCAGAAGCGGCTTAGTCATGCTGGCCGCATGACCCGGAAGCTGTACACCGGCTCCCTCGGCCAATAAAGCGAGATGAGCGCCGCAACCCCAGAGTCAGCCACGACTGGACCTAATGGTCAGTGGTCCCTTTACCTTTACTGATCCACACTCTGAGAATGCATTTGTGATTAATATATAGGCCTATAGACATAAAGGCCAGTGCACAATGCTGCGTCCTGATCTACACATCTGTTACCCATACATGTGGTTTTGAGGAATAAGGATCACACCTTAGGCACACCATGGCCATAGGAACCTATTCAAAACATGACATCCAACTTTTGGATGTCAGGTTTGCTAGGAGAGAATGCTAGGGTATTAGGGAAAGGTTGCTGCACTGCTGATTCCCCACGTCCCATAGATAGGGAATTAAATAGGGGGCTTGAGTTCAAAAACGGAGAAACGCACATCACACTTGATTGTACACCACATAAACCAATAGATATAGTAATGTTTTTCTGCATCTCTGCGTTTTGTTCTGTTCTGTTCTCTGGGGGCCTCAAACTTTTAACAAGACTTGCAACTATAGCTCAAGAAAACAAATAAGAACGAAGGAACCAGTAAGCAACAGTCAAATACTGGCTTTGAGAGAAATGCACATTATAGAAGTGAGTGGAATCCAGTTAGCATTCTTGCTCTCACACAGCAGGAGCATCTACTATCACAGCTCCCTGGGCACCCCCAAAATCTGTTCCGGAGGGTTGGGGGAAATGAGTTGCAGGAAGGAAGGGGAACTGGCAAAAATTGCTTCCCTCCCCATTCTGCTGGCAGAAGCCTCTGCTGGATCCAAAGGTCTTCCATCAGCATGGGAGGTGTCATTGGACGAAACCTTTAAAGCAGGAGGGGGAAGTCCAAAAGGTTGTGCACACCTGCCTTAAGAAGTAAAGCAGCTACAGCCCTGGGATAATAATCTCCACTGACTTAATGCACAATACACAGTCACCGCCAGGGAAGCTTTCCTGAATCTCTGAATGTTCTTACTGATAGAACTATGAATTACAGACTGGAGCTATCCAACTAGCTATGTAACTTTGGGAGGGGAAATCAAGAGGCAGACCCAACTTAGCAAAGGACAAACTTTGAAAGAGGATGCACACTCCAGAACAGGAAATAATGGTTTGTTATTGTTTTAATCCAAACTGTCTTAATTTCCTCCCTGCTCGATGCATTAAGCCACTTAGCGTAAGGGGTGACGCAATCCTCCGATTCGAAATAACATCTGCCTACGATCCTATTTTTAACTAAATGAAAGGGGCATTAAGTCCAAAGATTAGAGGCTAACTTTTTTATTTTTTAATAAACCTAATTCACATCACTCATTACTTCTGGAAATAATTGGGGGGGGGGGGGACAGTAAATGGAACATCCAGAAGTATACCATGCTTGACGTGGGACTGGCAATCTGGCAGTGTTGTAGATTTTTAACCCAGCTGGTGTTGAATGATGCAATGAATACAGTGGTACCTCGAGTTAAGAACTTAATTCATTCTAGAGGTCCATTCTTAACCTGAAACTGTTATTAACCTGAGGTACCACTTTTAGCTAATGGGGCCTCCCGCTGCTGCCATGCCGCCATCACGCGATTTCTGTTCTCATCCTGAAGCAAAGTTCTTAACCTGAGGTACTATATCTGGGTTAGCGGAGTCTGTAACCTGAAGCATCTGTAACCTGAAGTGTCTGTAACCTGAAGCGTCTGTAACCTGAGGTACCACTGTATGTATTTTCCCCTCTGGCAGCTGTCTATAGTGACTCCTGCCATGCAGAGTCGGAAGGGAACACAAAGGTCATCAAGACCAAATCCCTGCGACGCAGAAATTTTTCTGCCCAAGATGGCACTTGAACCCACAATCCCGAGATTAATCATCTCACCAAAGCCTTACTTTAGGGGTGACAGTCCCGATTTCTCTGCTGGATGTGGACTGCCAGGTGGCCATGAGGGCAGAAGAACCTGCCTAATCAATCTAGGTAGTCCATCTAGCTACAGTGACCAGTAGCCACTCTCCAGACAGGATTCCCCCTAGTCCTACCAGGAGACACAATGGCTAGAACCTGGGGTCTTCTGCATGCAGAACATGTGCTGTGCCAATGGACTATGGATCCTTACCCGGGATCCACTGCATGGTGCATGACAAGTGGCTCTGTTGACAGCATGTTACTTGCCCACAGAAACACCATCATGGAAACCTCTAATTAAACGCTCTGAATAATGAGGTTCACATGCATAAGCAAACAAACACTCTCTCTGACCAAGTTCCATTTTGCATGGCTCCCCTGTGCTGAGCAACGTGGGTGGTTTTCCGCCTGATGCATTAAGGCAGCCAGACTAGATTTTATTGGGCAGGGAATCTAGGCCATATCACAAACCTACTCTCTGTTGCAAGCAGCGCTAATCAAGTCATTAGGGTGGACCATTCAGTCTGTTTCCGGTCTGTGCATATTCATAAATCTGTTCCCTCTTGTTTCCGCATTAATCTGTGCAGGATTTTTTTTTAAGAAACATTTAAAAAACGTTTAAATATGTATTTTTATTTCAAAATATGCAGAAGGTTCAATCCCCAGCATCTCGAGGTAGAACTGGGAGAGAATTCTGCCTGGAACTCTGGATAGCTGCTGCCAGGCTAGTGTAGAAAATACTGAGCTCAATGGACCAATGGTTTGATTCTGCATATGGCAGTGCCCAGTGTTTAAATGCACATTTCTAAACTTATTATTATTATATCTCAGAATACACATTTAATGTTAAATTTCAAAATGCACATTTCAAAATGCACCTCGATACAAGTTTTGGACCAGGAAATTGCATTGCAAAATTTGGAGGAGTGAGAAATCAGAAAGTTGACTATGTTTCAATCTGCATACTAGTCAAAAGAGGTGTAGATGAGGTCCTTTCATATCAGATTTCTCCAGAATCCCATTCATCAGACACCTCTGTTAGCATTCTCTTTTGCTGGGCAGGCTTCTGCTCGTATAGAAGTATGCAAGCTCTTGAATTATACAAGGGCTCTTTGGCAGAATGGAAATATAAGATCATTTTCAGCTGTACAGATGGCAAAGATAACAAGACATGAAACACTTCTGGCACTTCAAGGAGACCAATCTCCAAAGGTGTTTTTCCTGCCTTCACACAAACAGAGACTTGCACACACAGCAGAGGGTTGCAGACTACGGAAATGACCAGCAATGAGCTATAGATACTTAGAGAGACAGAATGGCCTTTATATGCTATCCTGTTTAAGCGAAGACCTTCTAAAGGCAGTTATGCAACCGTCTTTTCCACACAAGATTGAGATATGCTTGTCCCAGCATGGAAATCTTTTGTGATTTACCATCTCTGGCATTTTAATTAGATTAAAAATTCCTCAAGCTTGAAAATCTTTTAATTGGTTTTAATTAACATTGGTCCGGGTTTATTTTTAGGTGTATGCCTTGCCTTTGTGAAGCAATGCTGATTTTGTGCATGTGCGTGTGCCTTATTTGTCTTTTATTTGTTACTTGGGCAATGCATTCATTTTATGTATGTAATACCAGTATAGACCTTTCCTTCCTCCACAGCCAACTTGGCAGGAGTGAGGAACAAATTGGGTATAAATTTAAACAAATTTCTAGGCTTGGAATTGCCATGTTTAAAAACAAACACAAACAAAACAGCAACCACCACCAAAAAGTAGTTGCAGGTGGATAAAATGTGTGGCGGAATGGATCCTTCCACCCAATGTTTTCCTTCTGAAAAATCTCCCAAAGTAATTTGCCCTTGAACAGGGCCAGCCCAAGACATTCTGCTGCTTGACGGCTACACCACTGAACAATACTGAAAGGTCCTGGGAACTGGGGCCCATGCTCCCCAAATGGGAAGTTTGATGGACCTGAGACAAGGCGCTGGGTTGCCAGTTGTCACTGGACAACGCACCACATGTTAAGTTGTGGGTGAACATATCAGACGACATAGTGATTCTTCAAACAGCTCTTGTTTATTCACAGGCCAGAACTGAACTGAAGGGTTCAGTCAGCCTGCTTATATAGAGCTCCAGTAGAACGTAACTGTAACAATTTTCTAAAACTATCCAATCACTGAACGTCACTTTCGATCCATTATTTGCATAACTATCTACAGTATCCCCCTGCTGGCCCAGGGTGAGAACTTCAGTACATAACACCACCATTCATAGACATCTCTGCTTTTACAAAGCTTACCTGAAGACAATAGTTTGTGTGTCCGCAAGAAACTGATTGCGAGGCGCATTATCGATGCTTTGTCCAGGTGTGAGCTGATGTTGTGAGGCAAAGGGAGTTCATGGGCCAGCTCATAGAAGACCTCTGTCTCCTTGCTCCTCCTGCACCTTGCAGCATCCCTCGACTTCTCCTTCCTCCTTTCAGAACTGCTCCTGTGATGACAAAGAAAAGACAAAAGGAGAAAGAGAAAATAATTGTACCGACTGTAAAAGCTATTGAGAAGTAATAATTTACACTCCGGCAGTACAAATACAAGGGCCTTCTGGAATGGGGACAATGTTCTCAATCTTACTGAGTTCACAGTGGTTTGTTCTAAATTAGCTGTTGTATTTGCCTTATCCCTCATAATCTCACATCCTCTGGGCAATGCACCATTATTCAGTTCAAAACCATTTAATCTTAAGAAAATCAATCAACCGTGGTAATTAAAACCCACAAAAGGAAGAAAACTGGACAAAGAACATATTGCCAGTCACAACTAACCCCACCAAGTGCTAAAAACGATATTGCATCACATAAAAGCAGACAAATGACATCAGTATTGATGTTCATTAAAAAGGTGAGCTCTGAGTTGACAAAAGTGGTGGGAGACTAAATGATTGCTGTTTTCTAATGGCACCATGATCTGAATTAAATACAGTGGCACCTCGGGTTACGAACTTAATTCATTCCGGAGGTCCATTCTTAACCTGAAACCGTTCTTAACCTGAGACGTGTTTTCACTAATAGGGCCTCCCGCCACCGCAGCATAGCTGCGCGATTTCCGTTCTCATCCTGGGGCAAAGTTCACAACCCGAGGTACTACTTCCGGGTTAGCGGAGTTTGTAACCCAAAGCGTTTGTAACCCGAGGTACCACTGTACAAGGAATGGGACCAGCAACAAAATGTGTCCTCACCTCCAAGCAGGTCGTATCCTTGCCTGCTTACCAGTCAGCCATACCCTCCTCCAGTGTATTGTAAGCTGTACGGAGTTCAGGCAGGGAATTCTGCTCCCCACCCAAGCCCAGTTATCCAGTTTTACTTTTTTTTCAGCATCCTATGGCTTTTGAACAAGCTCAATCAACTCTGTTGTTGTTTTTCTCCCCTTCCCTTTTATTTATATAGATAACATTTCTAAAAACATGGGGTTTCCCCCAAGCATGCCAATATCTCATTTCTCAATGGCCCCATCTGGGCTTCATTCAAATTGCTGCTCACCACCTGTGCCCACTATTTAAGGGAGTGGTGCTTAATTCATAATTTCAGCCTGTGGTCTCCTTAGGTCATGCCTCTGTTTTCCTGTTAAGAAACAAGGAGCGGCAATCACTTTATACAGCACAGGCCCAGCAGCACAGGTGTGCTGACCTGAGGGCACAACAATGAAGGAGGCAAACTATTCTGTTTTAGGCTGCAATCCTGTGCATGCTTACCTGGGATCAGGTTCCAGAGAACTCAGTGAAACACATCTTTTTTTGGTACTGAAAAACTTCACTGGCTCCCAGTTCATCCCTGAGCATTTAACTCAGGTTGTTGGTGCTTCCCTATAAAGTCCTATACAACTTTGCAGAGCCGACCCAAGAAACTCTAATACCTGAGGAAAGGACAAGATACACAGAGAGAGAGAATGTATGGAAGCCAACTGAACTTGTAGCTGAATTTTACTACAACACTGGGTTATAATGATGGATCATCATCCTCTACCAGACCTGAGGGCAGCAGACTAACTCAGAAAGTTGAGGGCATCAACCCCTCACTGCTGCTGCCCATCCTCTAGCATCTACAGGCGAACTAATATCAGTGTACTGGAAGAAGCAAAGATCACCAGTATTGAAGTAATGATTCTTCAACATCAACTTCGCTGGACTGGTCATGTTGTGCAAATGCCTGATGATCGTCTTCCAAAGCAACTACTCTATTCCAAACTTAAAAATGGAAAGTGTAATGCTGCTGGTCAACAAAAGAGGTTTAAAAACTGTCTCAAGGCAAATCTAAAAAAAACTGACAACACTGACAACCGGAAAACACTGGCCTGGGAGCGCTCCAGTTGGAGAACAGCCTTTACCAAAGGTGTCATGGGCTTTGAATGCACTCGAACTCAGGACGCAAGGGAGAAATGTGCTAAGAGGAAGGCACGCTTGACAAATCCACACCGTGATCAACTCCCGCCCGGAAACCAATGTCCCTACTGTGGAAGGACGTGTGGATCTAGAATTGGCCTCCACAGTCACTTACGGACTCATTGTTAAAGCAGTGTTTATGGAAGACAATCTTACTCGGCTACGAGTGATCACCAAAGAAGAAGCATTTGCCAGATGAGCTGACTGCCCCACTCTGCCTAATGCTAGGGCCAGCACTGATGGCAGTCATTTTTCTCTCCCGTCTTTCTCCTAAATTGGGGTTAAAGGCAGCTCGTATTCAAGAAATGGAAAACTATATTTAACTGAAGACTTTGATTGCTTCCCCTGGAAAAGGAGGAAGAACAAAGGTTGGTTCTTGCTGACATATGATTGCCCAAAATCTCCCATTAGTTTCTAGAGTCCTCGTGGTTTTTGATACAGGAACACTTGGGTTCCCCCCACCCCACCCCATGACACTGGGCAAAATATTCCTATGCAGATGCAAGTGGTCCACATCACATTGTATCTGTGCTGAACAGTATTTTTTTTTAATCCAAAACATTTTGCAAGATTTGTTCTTTTTCAAAGGTAAATAAATGTGCAGGAGACATCCAAGCCCAACTAAGTCTCTACCTGAGCCTTTGGGAATACCACAGGTTAAAGAGATAAATTTTCTGCAGAACCAACCAGCCAACTGAATCGCAAAAGCTTCATCATAAAGAAATACACTCGTGGTGTATAATCACATGCAAGGCCCCTCCCAAACTAATTTCTCCAACAAAGGTACTTGTTCGGCAACCTCAGCAATGCCTTAAATAGCCTTAGATGCTTAAGATTACAGACACAATAGCCCCACTAAGTAGCGTTTAGAAGGTTCCTCACCCCACCCCAACTTCTACAGCAAAAGGGGACACTTCTATGATACTGATTGCTGGTCGCCCACTATTATTATCTGCTATTTTGAATTAAAATGCTCCAGGGAAGGAATACAAGAGAGAAGTGTGTGTTGCTGGATGATGGAAAATAAGCTATTACTTGATTGAGGCACATGAGGAGCCAGTATGGAGAGCCATCAGGAAAAGCTCATCAAGATCCTTTACACTGACCCAGACTATTGACCCACTGCCTGGAGGTGTATCTTCAGGGTTCCCAACATAGTTTTCTCCCAGCCCCACCTGCAGATACTGAGGGTACTGCTCTCCCACTAAGCTACAAGCCTTCCCCCCACCACAAGGGCTATATTTCAGCGCTTTGGCACTTGCCACAGTGCCCCGTTGCACCAGAAGCAGTTTAGTCATGCTGGCCACATGATCTGGAAAAGCTGTCTGCAGACAAACGGCGGCTCCCTCGGCCTGAAAGCGGAGACGAGCGTTGCACCCCATAATCGAATTTGCTTGGACTTAACTATCCAAGGGTCCTGTACCTTTACCTTTATATCAGCTGCAATCAAATTCTCTGCAAAAACCAGCTGCTTCTCTCCCCACTTTTAAAATCCACAAAGCTGTCAATCAGGGTGGTGGTCTTTAGCTACTTACATGGCTAGATTAATCAAGGAAAAGCATTATGACTAAAAATGGTGCCTCTTATTTACCAGGCAACACATTTACTGCCAACCCCCCCCCCCCAATAAATTATACTGTATAAAATACAATGTAAGCGGCTGCCACAATCTCAGAAGAGGCATTTTCCCTTCTCTCACACAGCTGAAAGAGTGCTTTTTCTGAAACTGGTATGTCTTGCAGTGCATGTGCGCACCTCATCTCTAAACAAAGAAAGCATGCTTTCTTCCCCATTTTATTTCGTTTTATTCATATACAGATTTTAATTAAAGTCTAGATTGTCTGTGAAAGGTTTTGAATCTCAAAGTTTCTGGGCTCTTTTGCTTCTCTGTCCATCACATTTCCATATCCAGGAGCTCACGGTGCCCGGCATGGGTTTTACCGCCCCCCCCATTTGATTTTTGCAACAACCCTGCCATTTTGGTTATGCCAGGAGATTTGGGGCCGGTTCACATGGCAGTTTCTTGTGCACTTGGTGCAGGTTCTTTGCAGTGCCCACACAATATCGCGTTTGTCAAAATGTCGTCCTCCATCCCCTCTCCCCTTAAATCCAGAATTATCATTTGTTTGGGCGGTTTTTGCTGATTGGATTTGGTAATGGTAAATCTGGATCAAATTTAGCTGAGGGTAACCACAGTCATGTGGACACTACCAAAACATGCGTGCACTGAGCAGCACTGAGTCCAAAATAAGAGAAACTCTACTTGCCTTGTGAGCTTCACTGCTGAATAGGGAGGAGTGCGTTTCAGTTTGATTTGCCCTAAGTATTTTTCATGAACTATGCCACACTGGCACGTGCAAACATCATTTCTTATCTTGAATTTATGTCCTGCCTTTCCATGAGAACACACCCAAGAGTTATAGCCAAGGGTCGGCAAAATTTTTTAGATGCAAGCCGGTCCACTGTCCCTCAGACCTTGTGGTGGGCCGAAGAAGTGGCACTGGGGGGGGGGCTGGAAGAAGAGGTGAGGGGGGCAAGTAGTCCTCCTCCCCACGCCCCAGCCCCAGCCACTGCGCTTACCTTCCCTGGGGCTCCTGCCACCACCACAACTACCGCTGCTGCTTTTCGTGGATAAGCAAAGCGAACTTGTCCACTCCGCTCTCTGGCCCACAGGAGCACCAAGATGGCGGCAGCTGAGGGAAGATGAGCAGCACAAAAGGGCTGGCTCTGGAGAGGGGCTGCTTAAAATGGTGCTCAGCCAGCTCTGCTGATCCCCATTCCTCCTCTAGGCAGGGCAGGGAAAAGCCAGGAGGAGGGAGGGAGGAGGCGCCGCCACGGTGCGTGAGAGGGAGGGGGGATGGAATGGCGCATCCAACAGAGTGCAATTAAGAACAAAAAAAGAGAGAAAGGGAAAAAAGAAATTTTACAGCAAATATCGGACAATGAACAAAAATTGACTAAAAACCCCAAAAATAAGAGAGTAAAAGAAAATATCAAGGTTTTACAATCCCAGTTTGCAATGCTGATAAATAGGGAAATAGAATGGAAGGTCAAGA